CGACACAAAGTCCAGGCTTTCGGGTCCGAATCGCCTGCGATTTCCTGGAAATTCTCGCTGAGTCTCATTCGACAGATGACGTAATACGTTAATTAATAATTAATTTTTAAAGATCTCCAACGGATGCGAAGCGTTTAGTGATTGCACGAGGAATCGGGATGCTGCCGAATGTTAGAAGCGATGGCGAGACGGTCATTTGCGAGGCTTAGATGTAAATGATTACAGTGATGATTTGTTTCTTAGGATGGGCGACGTCGAGGGGCCTCACATGCGGGAGGTAGGAGGTAGGAGGAGGAGGCGTGGGGAATCGTCGCGGCCATAGCGGTGTGCGAGAAGACGGACGCCCTCCTTTCGCGGCTCCATTGGGCGCTGGCCGGACCGAGGGGATGGGGCGAGGGTGATGGATCGGATGAGGCAGGACTCTAGAGACGGTTGGGACGATCGGGGTCGAGGGAGCGCGGCGCTCGCAGGCGCGTGGAGGAAATGCTGCTTGAGGCTGTGGAAGCTTTTCATCTTGGTGTGCGTCTTTGTCACGGTGCTGCATCCCATGGTCGAATTTACGACTGCGGTGCTGTTCTTCCTCGTGTTGATGTGCTTTTGTATGCCCGTCGGGTTCATCTGCATCTGCGCCAAGCAGCAGCTAAGCGACTCCGACTCTCTCCCTCAATCTCCCGACGAGATTCACGTAGTCGCGCCAGAAAGTGCCGGAAAAAACACAGTTCCCTCGGCACCGCCCGTGACCGGCTCCGTGCAGGATCGAATCGACACCGGCTCCGTGCAGGATCGAATCGACACCGGCTCCCTCCCGCGATCTCCCGATGAGATTCGCAGCATCCCACTAGAAAATATCAAGGAAGACACCATTCCCTCGACTCCGCCTGAATCTTCTGTGAACTTCGAATGCCCGCCCTTCGACCCCCCGCCATACAACTTGGCTATTCTTCTTCCGGGGAGTCCACCCTCACCCCATCCATCTGTGATCTCAATACCCGAGATCCCACCCCCTCCCTACGAACACTCGGCGTGACCGACGACCCAGTTTCCAATCGCTTTTCAATCACAGGTAATCGCTTTTTTTTTCCGGGAGAAACGAATCCTCCTCTCGGATGGAGCGACGAGAGCGAGTTGAGAAAAGGAGAAAAGTGGAGAAATAATTTTTTTTATGCAGGTGTTCCAACATGATCTCAACGGACAGCGCGCATACAAAATTATTCATTTCGAATTCATGAGGTGAGAACGGCCCACAGGAAGCGAAGAAATCGCTTCCTGTGAAGAAATCTTCCTCGATTCGTCTTTGACGTCGCGTTGCTGAATCCTCACGGCGAAGTGCAGCAGCGATCCCTGGTTGGCTGGTGAAATCTCGGAAAACCATTCAGACGAACGAACTCGTTTGGTTTATCCTTCAAGTCTGTTCGGCGGAAAGCCGACAGCCAGATGATCAGGATTCCTCGAGTTTCTCTGTGTGCTTTTACCGTTGGATATGATGCACGATTGCCTGCTGATTTCCCCCATTTTTTTCCAGCAAGATGAAATAAATATAATAACCCTAATATATATAATATAAACCCTAAGAGAAGAAACCAAAGTGAAACAGTCTATTAATCAAGAGTCTGTGACCCCGTCAGAGCGAGGCCTAATCGAGGTCCTGCCACCGCCAGAGCTCAAGAGAGAATGGATGGGGGAGAGAACTCACAGCCTTTTATAGCACAATCAACAGTGGAAAAAACCTTCATGCTCGTAATCACACTGGCTCGGTTGAACCTCCCCCCCCCCCCCCCCCCCCCCCCCC